CAGGGCATCGGTGGCTCACTCCTGTAATCCTAGCTACACAGGATGTTGAGATCTGAGGATCACAGTTCAAAGCCAGCCTGGGCAGGAAAGTCTGTGAGACTCTTATCTCCAATAAACCAATAGAAAACAGGCAGTGCTGCTACAGGATCAAGTAGCAGAGCACTCTCCTTGAGCTGAAGAGCGCAAGGACAGCGCCCATGCAGAGTTCAAGCCCTACGACCAACAAAAAAGAAAAAAAAAGCTGTTTCCTTGTGGGTGTGACTTGACACCCAGCTAACGGGGTCCACTCCATCCCCCAGCAAGGTACCCACCGCTGGGGCTCCTGGGTAACAGAAGAGCTGGAGAAGAGCATCTGGAGGAGGAAGGGATTACAAACTACAACAACATGACTGAAGGCAGCCAGAAACTCAGAATTCAAAGACTCACAGGGAGTGGCAAAGTCTTTGCACCGGCAGAAACTAATGCATGGCTTCCGTGTGTAATTAGCAGCGGGGCTCTCCAGACCGATCCACGCAGACCTCCCTCCCAGTGTGTGCAGAAAAATAAAATCAACCAAAAACAGGAGAAAGGGCTATAAATGTCTTTTTCCAGTGATTTTTTAGGAGATTTCTCCCAAAGTGAACCAATCGGCCATGTGTTTCCAAGTTTGCTTTTCTGTTTGGAAGTACAAGAGACCCTGGACGGAGCTTGTCAAACAAGAAGAAATAGACAAGGCACCCCCCTTTTGCCCCTCATCGGGGGCCCATCAAAGGGGGGCTTGTTGGTAAGAACCGCAGAGAAAGGAAGGGGAAGAAAGCCAAGGCTCTGAGACTCCCCACCCCCCAAAAAAAGTCTGAACAGAGACCCTATGTCCCTGCTCATTTGGGCGCCACCCAACACGAACCCATAGCTCCAGAAAACCCGCCTGGCTCTTGGTGAGGGCTGGTGGTAAGACAGGAACTAGAAGGGTCTCTTTCAGAAAGAAAGTCCTCTCCCTGCCTGGGAAAGGCCCCACCCCCAAAGCTAAGTCCAAGGGCAGTGAAGCCTTCCTGTAGTGCCTGGCGCCTCCCAGCCTTTCATTTTCACCTCCATTCCAAACCAAGCATTTACTCCCCAATGTTCTGTTTAGAAAAAAGCCACTGCCTTCAACCTGCTGCGTGTGGGCTACAGGTAAATCGAGTCTGAGGAGCAGAGTGAAATATGGCAGCTTCAGCCGGGCGCTGCTGGCTCGTGCCTATCATCCAAGTTACTCCAGAGACTGAGATCTGAGGATCACGGTTCAAAGCCAGGCCTGGGCAGGAAAGACCCTGAGACTCTTTATCTCCAATAAATCACCAGAAAACCAGAAGTGGCGCTTTGGTTCAAGTGGGAGAGTGCTGGCCCTGAGCTGAAGAGCTGAGGGACAGTGCCCAGGCCAAGAGTTCAAGCCCCATGACTGACCAAAACAACAACAACAAAAACCCAAAAATGGCAGCTTCCCTCCATCCTGGGCAGTCCTGGTGGCGATGGGCCAGCTCTCCCCAGCAACAGCCCAGGGGAAGTCCACAGCCCTGACCCATGAGCAGCCAGCAGCGGGGGCTGGGAAACACATGATCGTTAGCCACGAGGGACACCATGAGGGGTGGAAGGCTTCTATCAGAAGCACGGGGAAAAACTCAAAGAGCAGTGGAAACCGGGGCTGGCTTTGAACTGCAATCCTCACATCTCAGGTCTCCAAAGGGTGACAGACCTGAGCTACTGGTACCCGGCTTACCCTCTGATTCCTCATCCTAACTTACAAAGCAGAGCTGCAGCCCTCCTCTCCTCTCCTCCCCATCCTCGGCTTCCTGGCGGAACGCAGGTTCTCTCTGCCTGCCAACTTTCACATCTGTGCATAGCACAGAGCTCCAGCACGGGCAAAGGTGTCAGTTCTGCCAGTAACCAACAGGTGGCGACAGCGGCTGAGCGGAGCAAGGCCCTGCTGGCCTCGAGCTGGGCCTGTTGCCTCAAGCTGGGGTCGCGCTGGCTGGGTTTGAAATGACAAGTGTCTTCTTTTAACAACAACAACAAACTTATCAAAGGGGGAAAAGATGAGGTCCCAAAAATCCTTGGAGAATCCAAACATCTCAGAAAGCAACTTGACCAGCGGCCACTGCGCACCCTGGTCCAGGAGGCGTGGATTTGGGCCCATTGGTCTTTCTGGTAACAAACCTGTGACCGTGACTGTCGGAACCACTCAGAAACCACCGAGAAAAGCCAAACAGCCCTCCACCACGAGCAAGGCTAAGAACGCAGCAGCCATCTCAGAACCCACCACTGCCACCACGGATCGGAACATCTGCCTCTTGGTGTGCTGGCTTGTGGCACCAGAGCATTACCTAGCCGAGAAAGCAAGACTGTCTGCCCTCAGCCAGCGCTGCAAGGCGGGGGCTGTGGCTCTCATCCTGGGGCTTGTGCTCCCCTAGGGACGCTTGGGGGGGTACTGAGGGGGTCATGGGAGAGAGTATTTCTTGCATCTGGAGGGAGAGAAGCCAGGGATGGTATTACACATCCTCCAGGCTCATGCTTGTCATCCTAGCCACTCAGCAGCTGAGGATTATGGTTCAAAGCCAGCCAGGGCAGGAAAGTCCAGGTGACTCTTATCTCCAATTTATCAGCAAACAACCAGAAGTGGAGCTGTGGCCCAATGGGAGACTTGAGCACTAAAGCGCAGAGAAAGTACCCAGGTCCTGAGTTCAAGCCCCAGCACACACACACACACGCACACACACACACACACACACACACACACACACACACGATTATGCAGTCTAAATGTCAACAGCACTGAGGTGGAGAAGCACTACTTTAGGGACCAGGAATTTTGGCCAATGCTATTCAATTAAAGCCCAGAAAAGATTCATTTCCCACTGTGGCCACAGTGCCTAAGAAGCCAAAAGCTCATTCAAGAGAATGCCTTCCTTCCTGTTCCCCACCAGACCAAGATGGACCCTCCCAGCCTCTTCTTCGGGCCTCCGTCGGAGGACACAGCATCCCTGTTTGCGCCATGGTCTCCCCTGTGGGAGGTGACCCACACTGGCCTACCATCCGGCTACCATCCCCCAGGCACAGAAGAACATAGATATCCGTGATATAAATATAAATATGTCCATATTGATATAAATAAATGATTAAATAAATAAATGGAGACAGGCGGAAACTCAACTCACATCATAAACACAGAAGGAAGCAACAGAAACTCGCCAGGAGAACGTTGTAGCCAAGACCCGCTGATGAGCGTCAAATAGCAGTGGGCAAACTTTACAAATAAACAGGATTCTTGCACAGGCTCTAAGCCTCTCTCCAAATGAATAAAGAAAGGGAAATTAGTGATTTCATAGTAGGTAACTCTGACAGACATCTTAAGAGACCAAGCTTAGCTTCACCCAACCAGAAGTGGTGACACACACCTATAATCCCAGCACTCAGGAGAAAGAGGCAGAGGGCTAGGTAAGTCAAGGCCAGCCAGGGAGACCTAGCAAGACCACCCCATCTCAAAAACAATCAAACAAACAAGAAAGTTAGTATTGCCAGAGCTCAGGATACGGTCATGCCCCCTTGACGGGATGTGATAAGAGCCTTTCACCTCCCCCACCTCTACTCTCCCCAAATTCAAACTCAAATGACCAAAAAATATCAGATGAACTCAAAGAATATTCTATAAAATGCCTGCCTGATGCACTTCAAAAACTGTCTATGTTGTGAAAAATGAGGAAAATGAAGACACTGTCAACTATGTGGAAATGACGAAGAAGAAACGATGAGTAACTGTGTACAATACGACATTAGGGAAAAAAACTGATGACGTTCCAAGAAATCTGAGGTTTCGCTAACAGCACTGGACTGCTCATTTTTTTCTTTTTCTGGGTGTCAGTCCTGGGGCTTGAACTCAGGGCCTGGGCACAGTTCCTGAGCTTTTTCCCTCAAAGCTGGCACTCTACCATTGAGCCACAGCTCCACTTCGGCTTTCTGATGGTTCACTGGAGATAAGAGTCTCATGGACTTTCCTGCCCAGACGGATTTTGAACTGTGACCCTCAGGTCTCAGCCTCCTGAGTAGCTAGGGTGACAGGCGTGAGCCACAAGCATCCGGATTTAATGCTACATTCTTAACATGATGCTGGGGGATTTTTATTCTTAGATCGTGAGCTATTTTGACACAAGATCCAAACAGACAGCACGCACCTGGTTGTGGCTGTCAGGTGCTTTGCTTTTTAGCTACGGAGTTTGGTGTTTATGATGAACTTGTAGAACAAATCTGCTTAAGGCCCAAGCAAAGCAACATGGTTCTTGCTAGCCTAATTCTGCTTCCAAAATTCAGACCTTTGCAACCTCCCCTCAATCATCCATCAAATCCTCATGATGGCCTCCGTTCACACCCCAATCCCTCGGTCTGAAGAAAGGGGACAGCAGAACCTCTCTCGCAAGTTCACACAGCCTGCCTCAAAGCCTCCCTCTATCTGGAGATAAATTTTAAGTTCAGGGGAAAAAAAAAAAACATTTCCTAGGTGACTCAGAGTATTTTTCAACGAAAAGGGAACAAAAGCAGGCTCAAGAAGAAATCAAGCAGACCTTAAAGGCAAAAGATGGCTGTTAGGACTTACTTTATAAAAAGGCACCCTCAAAGCTCCATTCCTAAGAAAGATACACTTTCTAGAAAATCCGATTTGGCTGCTGGATTGTTTGGGGGACCAGAAAATGAATCCTTGCAGCTGAAGCCTGTGTATCTTTGGCTGGTTCTAAAAAGAGAAAACGGCTCAAAGTCTGTAATGAAAGAAAGCCTTAGGCATCACACACCCCACCTGCTACCCAATATGAGAGCCACCAGGCTCCCGGCCACCCAAGTGCGTCCCAATCCAGCCAGGGGAGTATAGCAGCTGCCAAGGCGCAGGAGGAGAGGGGTGCTGAAGATGGACTGGACACGTGAAGGATAATCAGGGGCCACTGATTGGTCCTGTCCTCCCTGCCACTGTCTTGGGGCCTGCTTGGCCTAGATCCCTTTACCTGCTCCTGGCAGCTGCTGAGGAAGTCCATCCACCAATAGGAACCATTGCACTGGCCACCACCAACCAATGGCTGTCATGGGAGGCGGGGACAAATGAGGGCCAGGGATATAGCTCAATGTGAGAGCATCTGCCTAGTGTGTTCAAGGCCTTGGGGTTTGAGGACCAGCACCATAAAACTAGACAGCATGCCCTTGCCTGGGGGAGGGGCAGTGAAAGTCATGTTCCCAAGTGCCCCCCTGTTCCTGGAGTCCCAACACCTGAAGTTCAGTGTTCCCTACTAAAAAAACCCTCCCTCCCTCCCCAAATGCCATCAGAATCTCTGGACTTCTAAGCTTAACAGGGAGTTAAACTTTGTGGAAACCTTGAAGCATTTGCTAGATCCTGGAGTGAGGCTTGACAGTTCAAGGTCTCCAGTGTTTCCTTGAGGACACCTGGGCAGAGAAGACTTGAACTTCAATCCTGAATACCAGCGATGCAGTCAGTGTCTTGTACAGACTAGAGGAGGGGTCTAGTCATGTACAGAGATCATCATTGCTAAAGAGCCTATAAGAGAAGCTGGTTTGGCCACTATCTAGATACCCTGGACCCAAGTTGACAACTCAACATTGGCAAGTCAAATTTCCTAGTTTGCTTACAAGGCAAGAAGAAAGAGTCGTCAGCCACCCAAGTCTCTTTCAAGAGCGGTCGGATGCTAGTGTCTCACGCCTATACTCCTAGCTACTCAGAAGGCTGAGATCTGAGGACCACAGTGCAATGCTAGCCCGGGCAGAAAAGTTGGAGAGACTTTTATCTCCGACTCACCAGCAAAATGCTGGAAGTGGAGTTCTATCTCCAGGGGTTGAGCAGCAACCTTGAGGGAGGGGAAAAAAAGAGTCAGAGTGTGAGGCCTGAACTCAAGCCCCAGTAAAGGCACAGACAGGGGAAAAAAAAGCACTTATAATGTTCAGCAAAGTACCTAAAAAGCCAGAGTCATAAAATAATAGTCCAGCGCAGCCTGTGAACTTTATTAAATTCATACCACGGTGCCTCTTGTGTGCAGTTTTAAATCTGCTTTTTTAAATGAGCTTTCATAAATCCTCACCCGGGTCTATTGTGTTTCCGATGGTGAATTCAGTACAACATTCAACGATTTTTATGGGGCCAGTTCCACGGCTCCAATTCCAATTTACCTTTTTTTTTTCTCCTTTTCTGACTTCTTTTTTGGAGTTGACCAGCCTGAGAATCCTTGAGGACTTAAAAAAAAAAAATCCCAATGAATTAATCAAAGGCACAATGTTCTGTGTCCCCCATTTAGAAATGCATTGAAATATACATGAAGTCCATCACAAACAGCAAGACATTTTGAGTAAGCCATCAGCCTAAGTGCCTTTATGAATAACTATTCTGTTAGATGTTCAAAAGAGCTCACAGCTCAGCTACAGAAATTACCAAGCCACCCAGGAGCCCGGAGAGCAGATGGATGGGTTGCAGCTCTTACACGCTTCTCTCTGCTTCTTCAAACTTATACCACACCTCTCCAGGTGCACCGTCAGCACGGCTTCATGCAGCAACTCCTGAGACCAGACCTGAGGCTCGTCCCTAACTTAAGGACTTGCTGGAAACTGAGTTGACGTCTCCAGATCTCAGTGGACTGAAGGAAAGCTGAAATGATTTTTGGCATGAAGTCAACATCTGCTTCACTTGGAAGACGAGGTAGAGAGAGCAAACTCAGGGGAACCTCTATCTGTATCCCCACCAGTACCTGTTATGGAAATAGACATCATCACTTCCAGTGAGAGACGAATCCATATTGCAAACAAGTAGGAAATAAAATATGTTAACTGGCCAGAAATCAAGCTTTCATGAACCCCAACCAGCCAATCAGAGGAAATAAGAAATACCAATATTTCTTTTTTTTAGTTATTATAAAATGCAACCTTCTATGCAGAGGTATTTCTAAGTCTGAATGACTGCAAACTATTTGTGTATTTACTATGTGTATGTATATGTATTGTGTGTGTCACTGCTACTGCTGGAACTTAGGGACTGGGCACTATGCCTTCTTACCCAAGGCTGGTACGCTACCACTTAAGTCACATCTCCACTTCTAGCTTTTTGGTGATAGGGATTAAGAGGCTCACCCACTTTCCTGCCCACACTACATTTGAACCTTAATCCTCAGATCTCAACTTCGCGAGCTGCTAGGAATGCAGGCGTGAGCCACAGTACCTGGTTGTGCTAAAAGGCATAAATGCTATCATCAGTACATGATTATATATGCACTTAACACGTATAAGCAACCTTTGCATTTGTCTATAGTTATTTTAATGCTTTTGAAAATTAGTCTTTTAAGCCAGATACTAGTGGCTCACGCCTATAATCCTCACTACTTAGAAGGCTGAGATCTAGGATCATGGTTCACAGCCAGCCCGGGCAGAAAAATCTATGAGACTCTCATCTCCAATTAGCCACTGGAAAACCAGACGTGGCCCTGTAGCTCAAAGCAGTAAAGCACTAGCCTTGAGCAAAAAGAGTTCAGGGACAGCACCCAGGCCCTGACTTCAAGCCCCACAAATAGACTGGATGTAGTGGTTCACACTTACAATCCTAGCTACTTGTAAGGCTATTTGGGGAGATCAAGATTCAAGGCACACAAGTTTGAGAAGCTCCCTGCTTTTTAAAAAAAATACGTAATTTTATGGTTATTATTAAGGTGTAGACATGGTACATGCACCTGTCATTCCAACTACAACAAGAAGTGTCCCATTGGCAGACTGTCTCTACATGAACATGGGGGCAGAATAAGAGACCTTATCTGAAAAATAACTACATAAAATACAGAACTGGTGGCATGGCCCCATGGCCAGAGCACCTGCTTAGGCAAACACAAAGTCTGGAGTCCAACTCTCCTCCCCGCACTATCCAAAAAAACCCCAACAACGACAACAACAAAAGTCATTTGAAACATATTTACTATACAGACATGGTGGTGCATGCCTGTAATCTCAGCTAAGACAGAAGGACAGAGCCAGCCTGCTCGACACAAACTCTTGTGTCCAAAATAAATAAATAAATACTCAATGACACCATAGCATTCCCACAGCACAGCCTTTCTTGAAATGGAGGGTGTGAAGTAAATACAATGCTGAGGGGCTGAAGAGAACTGAGCAGAAGGCTTGCGGAAACAGCGGTGCACAGAAAGCGAAGCAAGCCAGCTACGTGCTAGATGGACAGATGAAGAGGTCTGTGATACTACGCAAACTATGTGTGTTACGCAAGTTACCCAAGCTATGCAAGTTATTCAAGCGACTGCAAGTTACACAGATGACGCAAGCTGCAGGTCACCCTCTGGCTTCCAAGTTACAGCACCTGACTAGCCAGCGGGATGCCAGTGAGAATACTGGACTGAAAGATCTAGGGTCCAGTCCAGTTCAAAAATCCAGGCTTGTGGGGCTGGGAAGGTGGCTCAGTGGTAGAGCGCTTGCCTTGCATGCATGAGGCCCTGGGTTCCATTCCTCAGCACCACATAAGCAAAAAGAAAAAAGCTGGAAGTGGCGCTGTAGCTCAAGTGGTAGAGCGCTAGCCCTGAGCTGAAGAGCTGAGGGACAACGCCCAGGCCCAGAGTTCAGGCCCACGACTGGACCAAAAAAAAATAATAATAATAATAAATAAATAAAAATCCAGGCTTGTAGGACTATCTTTTCAATATGGGGCTCTGCTGAGGCTCAGAAACAATGTTCCTGTCTTCTAGGGCTGCACCGAAGCTGCTAGAAAAATTCTGCTTCATCATTCAACACAACGGGCCCGGGCTTAGAGAAAAACAGGAAAGACACATCCTGTGCCCTGTGTGGGTCGCCTTAGGGGAAAGAAGCCACCCCTGTGGCTCCCAGAGGACATCCGATGTCTTTAACACACATGAGACCTATTCAAGGCCCCGCCCCCAGCGCTGTACCATTACCCACCATTCCCCTGTGCTGTTCAATGGGGACCCATAGTTTTTTCTGTTTTACTCTCAGAAGATTCTAGAAGCATCTTCAGAGATACCTTCTTTCTCACTGGAGAAAATGGAAGCACCAGGGGAATTGACTCTTTCCATTCACTCAGTTGAAGTCAACAAGAGTTTGGGGAGACCCCAGAATAGGAGTAGAGGAAGCTCCTTGTACCCCAGCCCCAACCCTGCAAGGGACCAGGCAGGAAGAACATTCTACCACCTTCAACTGCTCAGGTCTGTGACGCTACGCATCTCCAACCATGGTAATCCAGGAGCTGAGGAGAAAGGTATGACAAATCAATGAGCACTCACTTGGACAGGGAATTCTGAGAGCAGAAGGCCTGTTCCCAGGTCCCCCATCCCTCCACACAGGTTCATCTGTGCAGCAGAGCGCAGTGGGCTGTGCCCACACTTCATTTCCCCCTCCCCCTTCCCCGTCCTGTTGGCAAAGGGCAAAGGGAGAAAGCTGGTGGAAAGCTGCGGAGGAAGACAGAAGGAAAGACAGAAGCACGCTGCTAGGCCAGGCCTGTGAGATGGAAGAAATGGGAACGAGGAAGCACTTGTTATGTCTTCTGCTTTCCTGAGTGGTCACCATGCTGCCTGGCTTTCCTCATGGAGTTTCCATGGGTCGGAAGGTAAAGGCACACACTAGCTGTCTGTAGGCCCTTAAGGCCCTGGTGTAGACCTTGAACTTCAGGGGTCAGTATGGGAAATGGGATTGGTGGTTTAACAACACCTAGCAAACTGAACAGAGGTGCGGGGTGAGGGAGGGGGCGGGGGAGGCTCACCCACTACGAACAAGTGGAGTGGGAAAACTGAGGAGGAGGAGGAGGCTATGGAGGACCTGAGGGCTGGTTCTGATTCTGTTGGAGGAACTTACAGACTCTGCATTTGGAAATCCAAGGGAAGAGAGATGAAACCTTGGGTTGCCTGGAGGCAGAGTTGGACCTCGAAGCCTGAAAGGAGTCCGGCTGCTCAGAGGCTAGCTTCCTCCAGAGAAAGCAAGGCTACAAGGGAGAACTGAGGATGATTCTGTGTCCCTGGGAATGTGGCTTAGGGGTAGAGTGCTTGCCTAGCATGCGTGAAGCTCAGGGTTCGATTCCTCAGTACCACATCAACAGAAAAAAAAAGGCGGAAGTGGTGCTGTGGATCAAGTGGAAGAGTGCTAGCCTTGAGCAAAAGAAGCTCAGTACCCAGGCCCTGAGTTCAAACCCCAGGACTGGCAAATAATAGTAACGATAATGATAATAATAATAATAATAAAGTAAAACAAAATCTCTCTCTGGAAAAAAAAATAAGTATCCCAAATCTGAATCCTGATTGAGTAGTGTGATCCAGGAAGCTTAAAACTAAGAAATTACATTGGCTCCAAGCCAATGGAACTCCTAGAACCCCATGCAAAGATCATCTTGTAAGAAAATTAAAAACTCAAATGCAATAAAAACAGAAAATACGTAGGTCACATTTATATTCCTAGCTACTTGGATCATGGTTCAAAGGTAGAATGGGCAGAAAAGTTAGTGAGACTCCATCTCCAAAGCAACCAGCAAAAAGCTTGGCTGGAGTTATGGTTCAAGTGGTAGAACACCAGCTGAGCAAGCCGACAAGCCAAGCAAGCTCAAGTTCCTAAGTTTAAGCCCCAGTAGAGGAGGAAGAAAAGAAGGAAGGAAGGAAGGAAGGAAGGGAGGAAGGAAGGGAGGGAGGGAGGGAGGGAGGAAAGGAGGGAGGGAGGGAGGGAAAGAAAGCTTAAGATTTCCAGGGAACTTGGGATAAAATTACAATCTGAAAAAAAAGAAAAAAAGAAAACAAATGAGTATGTTTAAAGTTATTAAAGGCAAGCCAGGTGTGGGTGGCTCATGCTTGTAATACTAGCTACTCAGGAGTCTGAGATCTAAGCATCATGGTTCAAAGCCGGCCCAGGCAAGAAAGTCCATGACATGAGACCCTTACCTCCAATAAACCACTAAAAAAAAAAAAAACAGAAGTGGGCTGTGACTCAAGTGGTAGAGCATTTCCTTGAGCTGAAGAGCTGAGAGATAGCGCCCAGGCCCAGAGTTCAAGCCCTGCATCCAACAAAAAAAAAAGCTATTAAAGGCAGAAAAAAGGAAAGTAAAATGCTAGAAATATATATATATGTATATATATATATATATATATATAATTCTATTTAAAAAAGTATAAATTTGATGTGAAAACAAGCCCAGCAATACTTCTGGATATAAATATTATAACAAAATTACGAAGTCAATAGATAGGCTAAATAGCAGGTTAGATACAAATGAAGAAAGAGAAAAGCTGAAGACAGATCTGAGGAAATTACCTAAAGGGCATCAGACAGATAAACATTTCACAAGATACAGATAAAAGATAAAATGGATTAAGAAGGTATGAAATAATAGCTAAGGGTATGGGACTACAATGAGAAGACCCACAGGTATTTAGGTCAAGAACAAGGTGATGTCAACAGTTATCATGTGAGTTTCGAGTCTTCCAAGAAGCAGGTGCCAGGAAGGCATATGAAGGAAACACGAAGGAGAAAGGAGAAGAAACAGGAGTGGGAAGGGAGATCTTTCACACCGTGATACAGACAAGGTGGAGAGACAGGAGGATACAGAATGCATAGAAGGCTGGATTGGAATAGACTCTGAAATGCAGCTGTAAGGAAATTTGGGGGGTGGGGGCTGGGACATATAGCTCAGTGGTAGCGAGCTTGTCCTGAATTGAGAGCTCTAGGTTCTATCCCCACCACATAAGGGGGAAAAAAAGAAAGCAAAGAAAGAAGGGAAAAGAAATATTTGCCAAACCAATGGGGAATCATTTGAGCCAAAGTCACTGTAGGAGTTCTGAACCCTGTAGGAATGGATCAGCCCTTGAACCCTGGTCCTAAACAGCCATAAGCCCTGGGGGATGTGTGCACGTGCATGTGTGTGCCGTGCAGACCAATCCTGGGGCTTGAATTCAGGACTTGGGTGCTATCCCTTAGCTTTTGCACTCAAGGCTAGTGCTCTAACACTTAAGCCACACCTCCACTTCCAGTGTTTAGGTAGTTGATTAGAGAAAAAGAATCTCACAGGCCTGGCATTAGTGGCTCATGCCTGTAACTACTCAGGAGGCTGAGATCTGAGAATCATGGTTCAAAGCCAGCCCAAGCAAGAAAGTCTGTGAGACTCTTATCTCCAATAAACCACCAGAAAACTAAAAGTGGCGCTGTGGCTCAAAATGATAGAGCACTAGCCTTCAGCAATAAGAGCTCAAGCACAGCACCCAAGCCCCAAGTTCAAGCCCCACAAATGACCAAAAAGAGAAAGTCTCACAGACATTCTCGCCCAGGATGGCTTCAAACCATGATCCTAAGATCTCAGCCTCCTGAGTATCTAGATCACAGGCATGAACCACTAGCTGTCGATGTGCGCCTTTTGTGTGAGCACTGGCAGGCAGCACCCACGGCTGTCTCCCGCGGTCGGAGGGAGCCGCAGCACGGCAATATTTGAAAAGATAATACTTAAGGATTTTTCAGAACCGAGAAGTCAGTGAACCAGCCGTGCAAAGAGTAACAAGCCTCAAGCAGAATAAATAAAAATAGTAAATCCATACATGCAGTAGGGACACTGGAGAAAGTCAACAATGAAGAGAATGCTTTAAAGAACACAGGGCTATGGCAGACTGTCCACAAGGGATGGAGACTTCGGGGGAGGGGGGGGAGCACAGGAGACACGGCTTGTATTTCAGAAGAGGAAGGAAATGCTCTCTGTCTAACTAGACTTGTGGAAAGACCAGGGAAAAGAAACAAGATGGTTTTAAAATTCAATCCTCAGATGAATGAATGGATAGATGGATGGATGAATGAAAGAATGATGTTTGTAAACTAGGGCCAAGAAGATCTACAATTCCCAAACAATGGATAAAAACATGTACTAAAACACATTTCTAGTCAGTGAAGCATGTACACTGGGGTTAGAGATGAGCAAGGGCACTGGGAAACAAATGTACACAATTTGGGTTTCACAAAACAATAGCAAAGAAAGTGACCATAAAACACTCAAAGGGAAAGGCCAGTTACACGCGGCTCACATCTGTCATCCTGGCTCCTCGGCAGTGGAGAGTGACAGGATCAGAGTTCAAGGCCAGCCCCGGCAGGAAAGTCTGTGAGACTGTTAGCTCCAATTAACCATCAAAAAGCCGGAAGTCGAGGCACGTTTGGCTCACGCGGTAGCCAAACTAGTGAGGCTGAGTTCAAGCACTAGTACTAGCACAGGAGGAAGAGGAAGAAGAGGAGGAGGAAGAAGAGGAGGAGGAAGAACTGGAGGAGGAGGGAGGGAGGGGGAAATTAACACGTCATTCTAAATCTTGCGATTTTCACAACAATCCTGTGAAATAGGTTCTATTCCTCAGAACGGAAGCTTCTAGAAAGGGCATGAAAATAATCCAAGATGGCAGGTCAGTGAACGAGTTGGAATTGACGATGACGGGGCTGCCGCAGAATCTTCGCTCTTCACCTCTGCCCCCATGTGAAAAATTCTCCAGTGTCATAAAGTGAGCTCCCGTGTGCACGTTCTGGTAGCTTCTCTGGAGAGAAAAGCCACTCATTGCCTCTCAGAGACACTGTAGGAAAAGAGCCATGTTTCTGCCTGGACCACAGACCATAGCAGACACAGCCCACGACCTCCCCATTACACAGGAAGTCGTGGCTCCCTGCTCTCCTTAGTAGACCGGAAACAATATGAATGATGATTATGTTTTGCTAAACATCTACACAACACCCTTAATGCTGTTGACTCTTGAGCCCACAGGGCCTCACACATTCACTACCTGTCTTTCAGAAAACATGCTTGTAAGCTGGGGGCCGGTGCCTTGCTATTCCAGAGGCTCTGAGCTCTTGCATTTCTTCCCTCCACCTGTCCAAGAAAACCTCTCACCAAGGGGTGGACAACACACAGAAAACCAAGGAAAATAATTCAGTTGGATTTCTTACCTCAGGGACAGCACCCTGGCACTGAGTTCAAGCTCCAAGACCATTCCCCCCCCCCATACACACACACCTACTGATAACACTCTACATGAATGAACCAAGAACGCCATTCAGACTGAAAGAAGCCAAGTTCAAATGACTGCACACTGTATGACTGTTGGATTGTGTGATGACATTCCTAGTAGAGATCAAAGTTACGGAGCCATACAACACATCACTGGCTTCTGCAGTGGGGTGTGAGCAAAGCCTAGCAGCCTGTATGAGAGCCCTTCCTGGGGCGGATGCACAGCCCTGAAACCGGACTCTGGTGAGGGATGCCCATGGGTGTGGATTTGCTAAACTCCTCAGTAAATTTCAAACGGCTGAGTACACAGTATGCAAATGACAGCGGGATAAAGCTGTTTCAAACAAAAGTACAAGAGCCAAGTGCCTGAGGTAGAAGACAGGGAAGAAAAGGCTTTGGACGAAAAGAGAAATTGTGGCGCTGTGAGAATGCTCAGCACATTTTGTTGCACCGGGATTTAATAGTGGCCAGGGCAAGAAGGCCTGGACTCTGACAGGCTTTGGGGACAGAAGAAAGGTGCGGTACGAGCAGGAAGGATGATCCTAAGGGGATGACGCTTCACAGGACCTGGAGAAGAAGTTGGTACTTCACCTACAAAACAGAGGCTGGTAGCCAGGAGCTGGTGGTTCACAGCTGTAATCCTGTCTACTCAGGAGGCTGAGATCTGTGGATCAAAGCTAGCCCAGACAGAGAGTCCATGAGACCCTCTCTCCAATACACTACCAAAAAGCTAGAAATAGAGCTCAAGTGATGGAGTGCTAACCTTGAGCAAGATAGCTCAGGAATAACATTCAGGTCCTGAGTTCAAGCCCCAAAACCAACACAAAATAATAATAATAATAATAATTTTTAAAGACCACCACGGCTATCAATCACACGCACTGTCTTCAGTTGACCTACAACATCCTGACACTGCTTCCACTGCTCACATCAATAATATGCCATACAAATTGGTTGGCTGTCATTTGCACCTTCCAATTTCCTCAGGGGTATTTTTTTTTGGGGGGGCTGGTCCTTGGCCTTGAACCCTGGACCTGGGCACTGTTGCTAAACTCCTTTAGCTCAAGGCTATCACTCTACTACTTGAGCTACAGTACCACTTCTGGCTTTTTCTGTGATTAATTGAAGATAAGAGTCTCATGGACTTTTCTGCCTGGGCTGGCTTCGAACCAAGATCCTCAGATCAGTCTCCAGAATAGCTAAGATTACTGGCATGAGCTATCAGCACCTTGATCACCAGGAATATCTTGTCACAAGAAGAGTCTGACGCATGGGGCTGGGAAGGTGGCTCAGTGGTAGAGCACTTGCCTTGCATGCCTGTGGCCCTGGGTTCGATTCCTCAGCACCACATAAGCAAAAAGAAAAAAGCCGGAAGTGGCGTTGTGGCTCAAGTGGTAGAGCAAAAGCCTTGAGCTGAAAAGCTGAGGGACAGCGCCCAGGCCCAGGGTTCAGGCCCCACGACCGGACCCAAAAGAAAAAAGAGTCTGATGCAAATACAGGTGTCTATACACACAATATTACAATATTGTGACACAGTATTACAAAATACATACAGACAACAGAGAGGAAGGCTGAATATCAGGAGTTCCAAGGCCATACTCATTTATTACAGACACACAAAAATATTTATGTGTGTTAATCATCTTTTCTCATCTCTCTGTACGTTCAAATGGGAATCCCATATACAGAGAGGATTTGAAAATTGCTGTCCCATACCAAGGATGAAAATGTTGCTTGGACATTGGCCTCACCACATCCTGTATCTTGTACGCTTAGGAGTCTAGCAAGTTAACAAAGTGTGAAGTGTTGTGGTGGGGAAGAGAAGAGTACTCTGATGGTGAATCTTGAGAATAATTTACAAGAAACTACTTGGATATGAAGAAATCACAGTTTTGCTTGGATCTTCGTTGTGTATATAACCTTTTCAATCTACTCACACTTGGCCACACTTGGCTGGACACAGTGGTGCACTACTAAATGCATCTCTGGAGTCCCAAGTACCAGGGAAACTAAGGCAGGAAGATCCTGTAAATTCAGAAATTCAACAGAGCCTGAGAAACACAGCAAGCTCCAGTTATCTAAAAACTTAAAGAAACAAAATCATCTGTTTTCACCTACTCTCGCCTTTCAGATTGAAGAACCCAAAATGTGACCCAGAGTCTGTTATTCTCAGCTGTGAGAAGCAGCCTAAAATAGGTGGATTACAGTTCAGGTGTGCACTGGGGCAGAACGTGAGACCCTCCCATCTCAAAAATAATCAGCACAAAAGGGCTGGAGGTTCAGTGATCAAACATTTGCCTAAGTACAAGGCTACAAGTACATCCCCCCCAAAAAAAAACCAAAATATATTTTAAAAAGACTCAGTCAGTCCTCAGCACTAAATTTTAGTTAAAAATAATAAGTAATAAAAAAAATTGGAGTCTCCTGCACATCTATTAACAGATGAATGGATAACAAAATGCAGTGTATACAAACAGTGGACTATTACTCGCCCTTAAGAAGAAATGACATAGAGCTCATAGCCAGCACATGGGTGAACTTCAGAAGCATTGTGCTAGGAGGAAGCAGGGCACACAAAAAAAGATGCCCACGGTGCTAGTCCATGTATAGGAAGGAGATACTTAGTGCAGGACATTCAGAGGGACAGAAAGAAGAGTGGTGAGCAGAGGGTAGAGGGAGGAGACACTGGAAGGAAGTGACCAAAGGGCAAAGACCAATGGATTCAGGAGCTGAGCCTGCTAGAAGCTCACACGACAGGGTGAGCTTAATACCTCTAAGTTCTCCACTTAAAAGAGGTAAACACAGCAATTCTTACATCAGGGAGGGAAGGATGGAGGGAAAGAGAATCCTATCATCTTTAGAGTGAGAAAGAGGGTCATAATATCTCCCCTCAGGTCCTTTCCAGGTGTTTTTTTCTTCATAAGTTGAATTTTTGAATATCTGTCTGTCTGTCTGTCCATTTGTCCTCATCCATCCATCTACCTACCTACCTACCTACCTATCTTTTTTCTGGCTGCACTGGGTGGGGGGAGAAGTTGAACCTGCTAGGCAGGTACACTTGAGTCACATCCCCAATCCTAGTTTTTAAGTAAAGAAAAGAAAAAGGAAGAGAACATTTCTATTTTCACAATGCCCAAAACTGGGTACTGCTGGCTCATGCCTGTAATTCTGGTTACTCTGGAGGCTGAGATCTGGAAGATGATAGTTCAAAGCCAGCCTAGCCAGGAAAATCCATCAGACTCTTATCGCCAGTGAACCACCAAAAAGGCAGAAGTCGAGGTGTGGCTCAAGTGGAAGAATACCAGCCTTGAGCAAAAAAGCTAAGGGACAGTGTCTGGGCCCTGAGTTCAAGTCCCCAGTCCCAACCTCAGTCCACACACACACACACACACACACACACACACACACACACACACACACACACAAAATATGTCTAAAGTCCCATGAGAATCAAGAGAGCAGTTCTACATTTACTTCAAAGCCAGGAAATAAAGCATGCAGTGTGGACTCCAATGCATTGATTGGCGATGAGAATGTGACTGTGGGTGACTAATTTTATTAAACTATTGCTCATCACTGGCTATGGTTAAGTAACTAAATATGCAAAACCTGAGCTAACAGAGTGAGGAGAAAAAAAAAAAAGAACTTGTTGGTTTGAGTCTGGTTTTTGGAGACTGAAAGCAGAGCCTTGCAAACAGCATCTGCACAGTGTCTACACCAGCCACACCCTCAGCCAAAAGTTTGTTTCCGACACATTCATTTCAGCTCCCCGGTGATCGGGTGATGGCTGCATCAAAGGATTAACCTTTCAAAGATGAGTTACCTTTCCTGTTTGACCATTCTGGCAACTGGCTGTAACATAACCACTGTATTGTTCCTTTCCTCTGTCCCAAAACAGGGGACGCTGGTGACTCTTAGTTCTCTCTCAGGATTATGTGTCAACCTTTCCTTGCAAACAAAACCTCTCAGCCAGGCAAGATCGTTAGCCAAGGCAAAGACAGCACGCTATTTTTTCCTCTCTGCTACCTGTCAAGAAAATGAGAGGTGTACTTATTACTCTTATTTTTTTTTCTTTTCCCTTTAAAGAAAAATGTGATGCTCACTGCAATGGCAGCAGAACAAATTATCTTTGGTCTTCAGCACCCCTTCACAAGAAGAGATTAAGCCAAGTACCGGTGGCTCACACCTGTTCACCCCAGCTCCACAGGAAGCTGAGATCTGAGGATCATGGTTCAAAGCCAGCCCAAGTAGAAAAGATCAGGAGACTCTTATATCCAATTTATCAGCAAATAGCTGAACTGGAGGCATGACCCAAGTGGGAGAGACCAAACTTGAGTGGGAAAAAGCCAAGTAAGAGCGTGAGGCCCTGATTTCAAGCCATAGAACCAGAACACGCATGCACATGCATGCAGACCCACAAATGATCAGAACACAAGGTTAAGTTCACAAAACCTAAGATATGTGGATCGGTGTCATCAAAAGCGACTCCCCCCTGGGTCGCCTTTTGACTTCTAAACACTGAGGCTTTCAGAAGCGGAGCAGGGGACAGGAGAAAGTACAAGACAAGGCACTTCCACGTCACAGATTAAGTAAGTACGACCCAGGGGTTGGAATTGCTTGAGTGATAATACACAGGTGTCTGAGAGGAAGCACAAAGACACAAAATGTCAGCGCCTTTCAGAAGAGGCAGAACAGTAAATACTTGGAAGATTCAGGGTCCCTGCTCCTGCAGTCCTGTTAATGTTCCCCAGTCTACAGCGTCTTTATCCTACTGGGTGTGATTCATACCTAACCACACTGTTCTGGGAACAGACAGAAAAGCTTATCCAAACGATGGAGAAAGGGAGCCCCTCCCCTAATGGCACCTCCATGTGCATATTTCCTGAGTCAAGGTTCTTCCTGGCACTGGGTTATGGAGGTGAGTTGTGCGGTATACAAGGCTTTAGAACGTTTTATGGAGAAACGCCATGATTTCCAGGAACCAGTGTGTCACCTCTTTTCTTCCCTAATTTGGATATAATCAGATCTGTCCTAGTGCCAGTGGGTGTGGTTTTATGTTTATAATGAGATTACAGTGGGATTAGGGTCATCTAGAGGATCACCACGGAATCAGAGCCAGGCAGAGACAGAACCTAAGGCTCCCTTTAGCCCTGATAACATGCAATTGGAAACATGGTTGTCAACTATATATCTAAATATGTATGGTGACATACGTATCATCCAGTGGGGCCTTTTGACTGCCAAGATGGTAACAAAAGACTGTTCCAGAAGGTAAGAGCTTGAAGCACAGGAAGCTGGGGCCTGATGGCTCATGCCTATAATCCTAGCTATTGAAAAAGCTGAGATCTGAGACTCACAGTTCAAAGCCAGCTGGGGTAGGAAAAGTCTGTGAGAGCCCTGGCTTAACATGGTAGAGTGCTTATCTTGAACAGAAAAGCTCAGGGACAGTGCCCAGGCCCTGCGTTCAAGCCCCATGGAGGGAGGAGTGGGGAGTATAGGACCATAAGAGGATGGTTCCAAGGTATATTCCACCCAGTGATCAAGAAAGATGGTATCCTCCTCCTGTTCCTCCCCTTCCTCCTCATCTCCTCTCCTCTTCCTCCTCTCCTCTTCCTCCTCTCTTTCAGGATGTGCAGGTTTCTAGACTGTCATAGGTTAACATACTCTCCCTGGATAGAAAGAACTCCACAGGCTGTCTAGCACAGTTCAAATCAGGAACAAAATTACTTCCATACCCTGCTCCTCAGGGCTGTCTTTCTGCGGGACACCCTAGCTAAGATTGCTTCTACTTTAATTTTCTGTCCCATTTCTTTGGATTTCTTCCCTCTCCAGGCTGAAGAGGTGAAAGGATTGGTTGTGCCCTAGTTTTGAGAAATGCTGAAGTGGCAGGAATATGGAAAAAAAAAGTACCACTTGTGGCCCCAGGGGTGAAGCAGGGAGGGGAGAAGAAACAAGAGGGGAAGGGGGAGGGGGTAGAATCAGGCAAACAAAGACACCCAGAATCTAATTGGAACTTTCTCAAGCAATTTAAGCTTCTGCTCCAAGTGCCTAAACAATGCCATCTATTTATGCACACAGTTCAAAAGAGCTCCAGGATCAGAGGCACCTTCAAATAAACCTGCAGCGAATTCTGCCACGAGTTCCAAAGCTCTGTTCTGTGGTTCATAATAAGGATTACACCCACGTGGGGAAAATGGACGCTAGCAGTCAGCAGCCAGCAAGGCTGAGCGTGGAACCCTGAGCTCTCGTTTCCCATCTGCTAAAGCCTTGGGAGGCAGTACAAAAACTGGTGGTGTCTTCCAACGCACCTGACACCACGTCTCTCCTTGTTCAAGTAAAGGACATTGCATAAATGTCCTTTACATTCGCATAAGTGCGAACGTAACTCATTCACAGGCTCATTCAAGGGCAGGAAAACCAGCCCCTCTCCTCACCCAAAGGGCTGCTCCCCTAGAATATTCCAGCCTCAATTTCCCTTCCAGTCAGTTCTGCCCTCATTCCCATGAACACCATCTGCTAGCAATCTGCTGACCAGACCACGAGGAGACTATATGTTCCCCAGGTAGAAAAGCTTCTCGACCAAAACTCATACTCTGGCACCAAAGCACTTCCTCATGATCCCACAGGTGATGCTGGTCTCTTTTGGACATGTGCTGGAGGTTGAGTTTGCATCTATTAAAATGCACATGTGAGCTGGGGCCGGGTGGCTATTCAAGAGGCTGAGATCTGAGGATCATGGTTTGAAGCCAGCCTGGACGGGGAAGTCCCTTAAGACTCTTATCTCCAATTAGCCACCCTAATTAATTAAAAGATAAAAGCTGGAAGTTGAACTGTGGCTCAAGGAGTAGAGTGATAGCCTTGAGCACAAAAAGCTCAGGGACAGTGCCCACACCTCTGAGGGAGGGAGGGAGGGAGGGAGGGTGGGGAGGGTGGGGAGGGAGGGAGGGAAAGAATGCATGTGCACTTGTAGTTAATGAGGGTGAGGTGGTTAGGCTGCCTGAGCTCTCCCTCCCAATATGAGCTCAAAAGAGGTAGTTTTACAAGAAATGACCAGCCATGACTGGCTCCAGTGCTGTCACGGGTATGTGGTGGGTTAATCACTTTCATCAACTTTTGCTTAATAAACAAACAACACTAAAAATAATTACAAAGTATCCCAAAGCAAGCTTTGTGACCAAGACTTTCACTGAGGATCACTTGACTTCGAGACCAGCATAGTGGCAGAACTCTGTAATATCTATATACTCAGGAGGAGGAGATCTGAGCATCAAAATTCAAAATCAGCCCAGGCAGATGAATCATTATATACGTACCTCCAATGAACCAGCAAAACAAATAAACAAAAAGCCAAAAGTGGTTAGAGCACCAACCTTGAGGGAAAAAAGCAGGTGGGAGCTTGAGGCCCTGAGTTCAAGTTCCAGCACTGGTACCCCTCCTGACAGAGACAGACAGACAGCACACAGCATCCCGGGCTGAAGATATAGCTCAGCGGCAGAGCAAAGTCCTGGGTTCAAACCCCAGCACACACAATACCAGCATGCCCTCTGCTACTCTTTATCGCCAGTTATTTGTAGTTTCTGCTGCTCCTATTTGCACCGCATCAAACGGCATTGATTCATTTGACTTGGGAAGACCTGGTTGCTTGCCTGGAGGAAGGACAGAGGTAAACAAACAGACCAATCACAGGCTAATAGCTAATGCAACAATGGTGATATGAATTGAGCGGAAACAAGCATGTTCTAGTGGGGAAACGGAGCAATTAAGCCTGCTGGGGAAGGGGAGGAGAGGGGTCCCAACCGGGAGCTGGGGTCTCAGGTGAAATTCAAGAGCAGGGCAGGGCTATTTTGGGTGAAGGGAAATGGGACAGGGACACAATTCAGCCCCTCCCTCCCCCACCAAAAAAAGACAGAATGAGCCAAAGAACAGTCCTTGAAGTTTAGGGAAGAGAGAGAGGCAGGTGAGCTGGTAACTTCAAGGCGGACAGGGGCCACTTTGAGAAAGGCCTTAAAGGCCAAGCCTTCAAGGTCTGGATTTCAGTCCTCTAGCAACCAAAAGCCAATGAGGAAGGGCCATGATCACTGCTGGACAATGAGGAAGGTGACCGCTGGACAGATGGCCGTCTAGGAAAGGCTTTTATAGCAGACAGAGGCAGATTAGAGACGGAGGGAGATGAAGTCCTGGCCTTATCTATCTCTTTATAGACAAAACTGAAGGAGAACCCAAAAACCTCAGCTACCCAGATAAATCTTACCTTAATGTGGTACTTTTAAAAAAATAACCAAAACCAACGCACTACTGCAAATAAAGACGTGTTGTTGTTCATTTTACACATCTGTCTTTTTTGGCTGGGTGTCAGTGGTGGAGCTTGAACTCAGAGCCTGGGCGCTGTCTCTGAGCAATTTCTGCTCACAGTTAGCACTCTACCACTTGAGCCACTGTGCCACTTCTGGTTTGCTGGTAACCAATTGGTGATAAGAGTCTCCCTAGGGCTGGGAAGGTGGCTCAGTGGTAGAGTGCTTGCTTTGCATGCATGAGGCCCTGGGTTCAATTTCTCAGCACCACATAAGCAGAAAAAAATGGAAACGGCACTGTGGCCCAAGTGAGCGCTAGCCTTGAGCTGAAGAGCTGAGGGACCGTGCCCAGGCCTAGAGTTCAGGCTCCACGACCAACAAAAAAAAAGTCTTTCCCTGACTTTCTTTTCCCAGGCTGGCTTTAAACCAGATCCTCACCTCTCAGCCTCCTGAGTAGCTAGGAATATAGATGTGAGCCACCAGTGCCCTGTTTTTCTTGTTTTTAATTAGCCTAAATTAATTGTAGAGAGGTTTTGTTATAATCTATAT